TACATATATATATATATATATATAATTTAATTATGTCAATTTTTTTAATGTTATATTTGCAGGGATTTTATTGACGGTTTGAGTGAATAAGTGAATCATCTCATATCTAAATTCCCATACATATAAGTCGAAACCTTTTCCATATACAATCCAATATATGTGATTACAAATGTATTGATTCATGTATCTTAGTTATAGATTATTGGAATAATTAAATTTTATAATAAAATAAATATAGAGTATAAGAAAAGGTAATATGCGGCCACAAAGTAGTGACAGGTGAAAAGCAGAGAGAGACCCCACTCATCAAATATATGAAAAAAGTCCATTTGGGTGGTTCTCCTCGCCACAATCATTCACCTCTCTTCCCTCCATTTCTCTCTGTCACACCCATCTTTTCCAAACCCATGGCGGTTCTCGAAGGGGATAAGCACCAAGAGCAGCTTATTCCGGGCTTACCCAACGAAATTGCAGAGCTTTGTCTTCTTCACCTTCCCTACCCATACCAAGCACTCTCGCGCTCTGTTTCCTCCACCTGGAACAGAGCCATCACGCACCCTTCCTTCAAGAAAACCCTCTCCCACCCTCACCTCTTCGTTCTCGCCTTCCATTCGCAGACAGGACACTTCCAATGGCAAGCCCTCGACCCCTCCTCCGGCCGCTGGTTCCTTCTCCCGCAAATGCCCTTGCCGGACAAAATTCTCCCCACGGCGGTGGCCTGCGCGGCGCTGCCGCGCCAGGGGAAGCTCTTCGTGATGGTGGGCGGCGAGGAGGAGGGGGCTGCGACGACGATCGTGTACCGGGCAGGCACGAACCAGTGGTCGGCGGCGGCGGGCATGCCGGGGGCAAATAAAATCTTAGTATTTTATTTTTCAATGCAGTTTTTACGACTATTGTTTTTAAAAATCTTAGTATTTTATTTTTCAATGCAGTTTTTACGACTATTCTTTTTAAATATCTCAAATATTTTGAAGGACATATTTTACATTAATTTTATACATTTAACAAATATTATTAATAAGAAGTAATTTTAACAAAATAAAATTTATATTAAACACATAAAGTTAAATTAATATATCTATCAGTCAACACAAAAAGGTAATATTACAAAAAAATTAAATGGATTAAAAAATTACAAGAAAGAAAACTAAAAATAATTATAAAATATTAATATTAATATATTAATAATTTTTAAGAATATTATATAATAATAGTCATAAAATAACAAATTTAAAAAAAATGTTCTATTTAGTTCTATTTAATTTTTTATATTCAACTAAACATTAAATAATATAAGGATATATATGCAATTAAACATGGTGTTCTATTTTGTTCAACAAGTACCAAACACATAATAGAATACATGATTTTAATCTGTTTTATTATCAAATATAGTATAAATACATTATTATTTTGTTTCGTTTCATTCTGTCCTGTTCTAAAATACTCTAATAAAAAGTTTTATAAATTAACCCAAATATTTTTTTAATTAATATTGTATCATCAGTCGGTTTATAAAGACTAACTTTGAAATAACGAGATCTATTTAAAAAGTAAATATTTTTTGTCATATATTTTTTTTCATGTATACGGACTTAAAAATTAAACGAATAAAATAAATAAATTTATCAGTTAATCATATATGGATAACCAAATAAAATCTTAGTATTTTATTTTTCAATGCAGTTTTTACGACTATTGTTTTTAAAAATCTTAGTATTTTATTTTTCAATGCAGTTTTTACGACTATTCTTTTTAAATATCTCAAATATTTTGAAGGACATATTTTACATTAATTTTATACATTTAACAAATATTATTAATAAGAAGTAATTTTAACAAAATAAAATTTATATTAAACACATAAAGTTAAATTAATATATCTATCAGTCAACACAAAAAGGTAATATTACAAAAAAATTAAATGGATTAAAAAATTACAAGAAAGAAAACTAAAAAAATATAAGGATATATATGCAATTAAACATGGTGTTCTATTTTGTTCAACAAGTACCAAACACATAATAGAATACATGATTTTAATCTGTTTTATTATCAAATATAGTATAAATACATTATTATTTTGTTTCGTTTCATTCTGTCCTGTTCTAAAATACTCTAATAAAAAGTTTTATAAATTAACCCAAATATTTTTTTAATTAATATTGTATCATCAGTCGGTTTATAAAGACTAACTTTGAAATAACGAGATCTATTTAAAAAGTAAATATTTTTTGTCATATATTTTTTTTCATGTATACGGACTTAAAAATTAAACGAATAAAATAAATAAATTTATCAGTTAATCATATATGGATAACCAAATAAAATCTTAGTATTTTATTTTTCAATGCAGTTTTTACGACTATTGTTTTTAAAAATCTTAGTATTTTATTTTTCAATGCAGTTTTTACGACTATTCTTTTTAAATATCTCAAATATTTTGAAGGACATATTTTACATTAATTTTATACATTGTGGCGGGAGATGGGGGTGGGAATGAGGGAAGGGTGGAGCGGGGTGAGCGTGGCGGTGGGCGGGAGGGTTTTCGTGATCGCGGAGTTCGGGGATTCCCCGGTGAAGGTGTACGAGGAGGAGTGCGACACGTGGCGGTGCGTGGGAGGAGGGAGGTTCCCGAGGGAGGTACTTAAGAGGCCGTTTTGTGCCACGGGGTTGGAGGATACAATCTACGTGGCGTCTTCCTGTTTGAACGTGGCCATTGGGACCGTCGACGTCACGCCTTCCGAGGTCAAGCTCACGTGGCAGGTGGTGGAGGCCCCGCCTGCTTTCCGTCAATTATCACCCTCTACTTGCCACCTTCTCTATGCTTGAAACTTCAAACTTCAAGTGTGCCCAGCTTCGACATGTTTCTTCTCTCTAATCTTGTTTTGTTGTATTAGGCTAAGTGAACATGTCCTTTTTATTTTACTTCTCCATCCCATCTTCCCTCCTAAACCAAATATTTTATTCACTTCTTTCGCTTTACCATTCTTCCTTTTCTCTCCTCTCTCCTCTCTCCTCTCTCATCAATCATCCTTCTCACTCCTATTCTAAAATCTATATCACTAAAATAAAATAAAATTAGCAAGCTAGTGGGACAATATTATTTTTCCATCCATCACATGTGCATTTTCTCTCCATCTTTTATCAGGAGAAAATGTCCTATTTTAAAAATTCAATCCGAATTAAAAACATCACTATTCTTATTTCTAAATAAATAAATTATTTCCTTACCTTTCTTTTATCGAACATAATAGTCGTGTGAATCGGTTCCCGGAAATAATAAAGTTACAACATTTTATAATATGGAGCACTTCAATTTTTAATTAAAAGTGTGAACAAACAATGAGTATAATAGACACATAATGTTCGTGTCGAAAAAGACACATAATGTTAGTGCGAATAGGGATGATAGTGGGGCTTCACAAAGTGGGTAGTACGATACTCATCTCGGATAAAAATTTGTCTTCGTATTCGTTTTCTATTTGTTTGGATATTTGAATATTTATGTGATTTTTTTAAAAAAAATATTACAAATAAATTTAAGTTTGTATGTATTAATTTTATTGAAATATTAAATATAAATAATTGATGATAAATTTTAAATTTGTATTTAACACTAATTTTGTAGAAATATTAAAAATAATATTGAAAAATATAAGATAAATATATAAATATTTAACTAATTTTATTTAGTAACTACTCACAAATATAAAATATTAGGCTAAAAACCTATTTTGGTCCCTTATAATCTTTTTTTGTTTCAATTTAGTCCCTCATTAATTTTTGGTCTCAATTTGGTCCCAAACTAATTAATTGGTTTCAATTTAGTCCTAAAATAATTAATTAGTTTCAATGTGGGACTTCCGTCCAAATTATTTAAACGGAGTTAACTTTTGGCCACGTGGATGCCACGTAGATGCATACGTTGCATCCACGTGGATGAGAATTTTTTCTGAAAACACTTGAACCGGAACGGGCCGTTTTGGTTGCAAAATTAAAACACCACCAATGAAGCAGAACGGGACGTTCTGAAAACAGAACGGCCCGTTCTGCTTTCAGAACGGCCCGTTCTGCATTCAGAACGGACCGTTCAACAACTGTGAATAAAATATTCTTTACTTAATTTTGTTTTTGATATTATAATTATGCAATTTTAATCTCTAAGGTTTTAATTGAGTAATTTCAGTCCTTAAAAGATTATAGTTGTGTAATTTTAGTCTCACAATTTTTAATTGAACAATTTTAATCTCTCAAATATCATAATTGTGGAATTTTAGTCTTTCTCATTAAAAATTTAATAATTTTAAAATTTTAATATATATATATATATAATGTTTTAAAACTATATAATTGTTTGTTTATTTAAATTAACGTATATTATTTTTTTTTAAGTATCAAATGATATATATTTACTATTACTAAATAAATAAAATTTATATATTATTAGTATTTTAATATTACTGATAAATTAATATCAATAATATTTTTACCCTTTTTATAAATAAACTAATAATTTGATAAATATAACTTAATATATATTAATATACTTTTACAAAAATATAAATATATAAGATCAGATATATATTTCTAATTAATATACTTATATTTTTGTAAAAGTATATTAATATATAACAAGTTATATTTATCAAATTATTAGTTTATCTATAAATATATTAATAATATTATTGATATAATATCGAAAATTATAATATACGTTAATTTGAATAGATAAATAATTATTTAATTTTAAAACATTATATATATATATATATAAATTATTAATTTTTAATGGGACAAACAAAAATTATACTATTATGATATTTGAGGGACTAAAATTGTTCAATTAAAAATTGAAGGACCAAAATCGCGCAATTGCAATTCTTTAAGGACTAAAATTATGCAATTAAAATCTTGGAGATCACAAAACTGCACAATTGTAATACTTGAGGGATAAAAAATGCAATTAAACCAATATTCTTAATTAATTTTATTAAAAAATATAATAATTAATAAGATAAAAGGAATATCACTTTATAATTTTTTGCAACTTATTTAAGATTAAAGGAATAAAATGATAAAAATTAATAAGATAAACATAATAAAATAAAATATAAAAAAAAATTTAATATATTTATTTTATTGGATATAATAACATAATTAAAATATAATTAATAATATATATTTTGTAAAATTATTAATATTTTATATATAAAAAAAATCGGAACGACCCGTTCTGAAACCGGAACGGGTCGTTCTGGTTACATTTTCAGTGTGTTAATTTTGCACCTGGAACGGGACGTTCCGGATGCAAAATTAATACACCAAAAGTGCACCCAGAACGGCCCGTTCTGGGTCCAGGTGTTTTTAAAAAAATTCTCATCCACGTGGCATCCACGTGGCATCCACGTATGCATCTACGTGGCGTCCACATGGCCAAAAGTTAACACCGTTAAAGCAATTTGGACAGAAAATCCCACATTGAAACCAATTAATTAATTTGGGACTAAATTGAAATCAATTAATTAGTTTGAGACCAAATTGAGACAAAAAATTAATGAGGAACTAAATTGAAACAAAAAAAGATTATAAGGGACCAAAATAGGTTTTTAGCCAAAATATTATTATACTTGTCAACATTCCATTTATTAATGGATAAATAGATAAAAAAAAATTATTTGTACATGTCGTCATTTGTAAGTATTGATTTAAAATACTCAATTATTATCTATAACAAATTTTATTTGTAAATACTTGCAGATAAAAATAATTGTCATCCGAACATACATTTCCTTATACTATTAACAACCAAAATTTATATTTAATATGAGTAGTTATTATTTAAATTAACAAACTCATTGTTTGTAATATGACAATGTACCGTCTCGGTATGGTTCTGATACGTTCAACGGAGGCATCGGAAAACAACCGACTAGCCAAGCCCTTTTACCTATAATGCTCAGGGCTAGAAGGCAAGTGTACCGTCTCGGTATGGTTCTGATCCGTTCAACGGAGGCGTCGGAAAACAACCGACTAGCCAAGCCCTTTCGCCTATAATGCTCAAGGCTAGAAGGCAAGTGTATCGTCTCGGTATGTTTCCGATACGGTCAAGGGAGGAGTCGAAATACAGCCGACCTGGTTCTGGCCCATGCGCAGGAGCAATCAGAATTTAACCTGATACCCCCCCCCCAACGATGGTGATCTCGGTAAAAGCCCGGTCCCATATCGGTCACGCTGGTGAACTCGGCCTGGTTGGTATCAGCCAGGATGGACTCGGCCTGGTTGGTATCGGCTAGGATGGACTCGGCCTAGTCGGTGGATGGACTCGGCCTGGTTGGTATCGGCCAGGATGGACTCGGCCTGGTTGGTATCGGCCAGTATGGACTCGGCCTGGATGGTATCAGCCAGTAACCGAACAAGCCTCACTTTTCACGTTGATCCGAGAATTAAGGATAGAAATCTTACTTCAAATAGTCAAATGTTCTCTATGAAAACGGTTAAGGAAATCCCCCTCATTCTCGGGGCCCATGAGGCCCGCAAACAAGAAAATATAAAACCTAAAACCCTATAGTTAAGACGGCAGATTACACTTTTGAATGCTCTGGTTCAGAGGCTTGATCTAGGAAAAAACCCTAGCTCATCCCTTGGCCGGAACAGATAACAATTATGTTTCATTATGAAGGACAATTTCTAGAAAATTTCAATCTCTTATCCTTATAAGAAGTCTTGATAGATTAACACATCACTTAAAAACTTTAAGACCAAATCCTTTAATTGTAGCGTTGATGGTATCTCACAAATGACTTTTATGAGTAATATCTTGACTGTTATAATTTATTACATAAATACAACTTCAATCAGGTTTAGAGTTGACACTCTCTAAATTGAATTCATGCCGATCTCGGGAATAAAGTTAGGGTAAGGAGAGTCATTTGGAACTACTTATTAGGTGTCTAGGTATCTAATTCCAAGGTAACATATCTTAATTGTTGGAATAGGAAGGTACTCATGTAAAAAAAACACTATATTTAATTTACACAACTAGTGCATATTTTATTTTCACAAATAACATGAGAAACAAATAGCAACAAGTGTGGAGAAATGGAACCAATGTGCAGCTACATACAAATAAAGCGTAAAAGTAGAAACTAAGAGAAAGAATGGTGTGCAACAATTATAATTCAAAAAAGTTGGATTCCATCCTGTACACCCCAAATCAGGGAAAAGAAATTGTGATTAAACTAAGTTCGATTACTCTCTTTTTCCTTCTCCTCCTTTCTTTAATTTTATAAACCAAACAATGAAACATTTTTTTTATCCACTCCACCCTCTGCCATTGATCCAAACAAAGTCTAAATTTTAATGAGTTTTATCATTGTTCCAGCCACGGGATGCACTAGGGTTTTCTCCTAGGTCAAACCTCAAAGCCAGAGTATTCAAGAGTGTAATCTGCCTTCTCAACTCTAGGGTTTTTGGTTTTATAGTTTCTTCTTTACGGGCCTCATGGGCCCCGAGAGTACAGGGATTTCCTTAACTGTTATTATGTCAAAGATATACTGATAAGCATGGGAGTATTAAATCAGAATCCGACCGAGAAGGTTAAGCGCATAGGGGTATAATCGGATAATGACTGACTAGACCGTAGTGGGTGAGGTCGAATTCCGACCGACAAGGTCTATACCGAGGGCCCAGTCGGGTATAGACCGAGTGCCCCTAATGAGGGAGTCAGTTTAAGTCCTAGTCTGTCTGCCACACGTGATGGCATCCGGTCAGACCATGTTGACCAGTCGGCATCTGACCGGGACGGTCCACTAGCCTTCCAGCCCTGAGCCTGGAGGGCGAAAGGGCTTAAGGTCAAATTGTCGATCGCATACAATCTTGGTCGGCCTGCCACACGTGGTGACGTCCTGTCGGATCATGTTGACCAGTCGGTATCTGACCGGGACGGTCCACTAGCCTTCTAGCCCTGAGCCTGAAAGGCGAAA